TAGATAGATAGATAGATAGATAGATAGATAGATAGATAGATAGATATAGGGAGATAGATGGAGAGGTAGGTAGGTAGGTAGGTAGGTAGGTAGATAGATAGATAGATAGATAGATAGATAGATAGATAGATAGATAGATAGATAGATGAGAGAGGGAGATAGATGAGGGAGATAGATAGGTAGATAGATAGATGATAGATAGATAGATAGATAGATAGATAGATAGATAGATAGATAGATAGATAGATAGATAGATAGATAGATAGATAGATAGATGAGAGAGAGGGAGATAGATAGATAGATAGATAGATAGATAGATAGATAGATAGATAGATAGATAGATAGATAGATAGATAGATAGATAGATAGATAGATAGATAGAGGGGGAGGGAGGGAGGTAGATAGACAGACAGACAGATAACCTTTATTGTCATTTTTTACTGTGGGCACAACGGCACACATTCAAAATGAAATTGAGTGGCTTGCTCTCAAAGTGTACACATACATAACACGCATTTAAACACACTATATACAACAGAAGTATAGACCTACACCCTTACATATGAGCAACATATAAATATTAATCACTGTCCATCTTGAATACATAACGGAAGGAGGAAGCTTGAGAGTTCAACAAGGTTAATACTGTACGGAACAAAAATGTGACTGAATCCGGATGTTCTGCTTCGGATACCACAAAGCCCCCCATCCCGCCCGGCCCCCGAAGGTAACAAGGAAAACAGGTTGTGAAGAGGGTGTGTAGCGCCCCAGACAATCCTGCCGGCCCCGCTCAAGCCACGCTTAGATGCCACGTCCTGGATGGAAGGGAGCGAACCGCCCATCGTCTTTTCTGCTGTCCTCACCACTCTCTGCACCACCTTCCTGTCCGAAGTAGAGATGCTTCCCTCTATCTAAATTATATACGAGCCGTTACCCGTGGCCTGTTTGGTGGCTGCCCCTGACCAGGGCCCTTGTTGCTGGCTTGGAGGTGTTTTGGGGGCCCTCCTGCATCTGGGACCCACAGATGTTGGGTTATAGAGCCCCGCCACTGCCCGGGCCTGGGAGAGAGCTGCAAGGTCTTCCCTCGTTCTCTCTCTCTCTCTCTGCAGGACGTGGACGAGGCCCATTACGCCTACTCCTTCAAGTACCTAAAGAACAAGCCGGTCAAGGAACTGCGAGACGAGCAGTTCCTGAAGATCTTCCTGGCCAAGGAGGAGAGCCTACTGACCATCGACATCTCCGTGGACATGAAGGGCGTGGAGGGGTGAGTCCTCCGGCCGCGTCGCCCTCCTCCTCCTGCCCCCACCGGGCCTGACCCTCCCTCGGCCTGACCTTGCCCGCCCCCTCCCTTCCAGCTACGGCAGTGACCAGACCTACTTCGAGGAGATCAAGGCCTTCTACTACCGCGACGAGTTCAGCCACCAGGTGCAGGAGTGGAACCGCCAGCGCACCCTGGCCATCGAGCGGGCCCTGCGCCACTTCCTCTACCCGCAGATGGCCAAGGAGCTGATGAACAGGCTGCTGCTGGAGGCCAAGGAGTGCGTCATGAAGGTGGGGGCGGGGCCTGGGGAGCGGGCGGGGGGGGGCTTGGCCTGGGTGGGATGCAGTGGACACGGGGGGCTCCTTATAATAAGAAAGTAAAGTTGGAAGGGACCTTGGAGGTTATCTAGTCCAACCCCCTGCTCAGGCAGGAAACCCTAGACCAGGGGTAGTCAACCTTAGCTATTTTATGACTCGTGGACTTCAACTCCCAGAATTCAGGAATTCTGGGAGTTGAGGTCCACGAGTCATAAAAGAGCCAAGGTTGACTACCCCTGCCCTAGACCATTTCGGACAGATGGCTGTCCAGTCTCTTCTTAAAAACTTCCAGTGTCAGATCATTCACAGCTTCTGGAGGTGGGTTGTTAATAATAATAATAATAAAGTCAGAAGGGGCCTTGGAGGTCATCTAGTCCAACCCCCTGCTCAGGCAGGAAACCCTATACCAGGGGTAGGCAACCTTGGCTCTTTTATGACTGGTGGACTTCAACTCCCAGAATTCCTGAGCCAGCATGAGGGAACTATGGCCCCCTCATGACTCGTGGACTTCAACTCCCAGAATTCCTGAGCCAGCCATGGCTCAGCTTGGAAACCTTTCCCTTTCCCCTCAGCATGGCTGGCTCAGGAATTCTGGGAGTTGAAGTCCACCAGTCATAAAAGAGCCAAGGTTACCTACCCCTGCCCTATACCATTTTGGACAAATGGCTGTCCAGTCTCTTTTCCTTGACTTAATAATAATAATAATAATCTTTGAAGGATCTTTGGAAAAATATAGTTCAGGGGTTCTGACATCACATCTGCCAGTTCCTTGAGAACCTTGGGGTGTAATCCATCTGGTCCTGGTGATTTGAACTCGTCTAGGCTGGATAGGCGCTCACTTACCATTTTCTTGCCTATCTTAATTTGTATTTCTAATCTATTTTTTATGGTACTGTTTTTGATAGGTTGGTCTGTTTTTTCCCTTTGTGTAAAGACAGATGCAAAAAATGAGTTAAATGGTTCTGCTTTCTCTCTGCTGCTTGTCACCTTCTTGCCACTTTCCCCCACTAATGGACCAATCGTTTCCTCCACTTTTTTCTTGTTTTTTACATGTTGAAAGAAGCTTTTTTTGTTATTTTTGACTTTGGTCGCAAGCCTTAGTTCATTTTGAGCCTTGGCTTTCCTCACTTCATCTTTGGAGGCTCGGGCTATTTGCTGATATTCTGACTTAGTTATGTGCCCCTCTTTCCACTTTCTATACTTGTCCTTTTTATCTTTCAATTTGTCAGAGAGTTCTTTATGCAGCCATGCTGGTTTCTTTTACAGCGGTTTAGCTTAGTGACCACTCAAAGTTACAACGGCACTGGGAAGAAGTGACTGGTGGCCATTTTTCACACTTCCCACTGCAGCCTCCCTATGATCGCGTGATCAGAATTCGGACCCTTGACGGCTCGCTTCTATTTACGACGGCTGCCGCGTCCCGGGGTCACACCGTGCCCTTTTGGGGACCTCCTGACAAACATAAATCAGTGGGGAATCCGGATTCGCTTAACAGCCTTAACATTCGCAGCAACCCACGTAAGAACAGTGTCGAGAAAGATTGCAAAATGGGACAAAACTCCCTTGACAAGCGTCTCACTTGGCGACAGAAGCGCTGGGCTAAAATGTGGCCGTAAGTCAACCTGCGCCTGTGGATTTTATGCAAGCTAATCAGCTGGGCGAGACATTTGTTAAGTGACTTTTGCCCCGTTTTACAACCTTCCTCGCCACAGGTACAGTATAGGGGGTACCTTGCTCAATAGTAGCAACTGTGAGAAGGATCTCGGAGTCCTAGTGCACAATCCCTTAGATAGGAGCCAGCCGTGTGCTGCAGCTGCCAAAAAGGCCAACACAGTGCTGGGCTGCATTAACAGAGGGAGAGAATCAAGATCAGATGAAGTATTAATACCACTTTACAAGGACTCTGTAAGGCCACACTTGGAATACTGCATCCAGTTTTGGTCACCACAATGTAAAAAAGATGTTGAGACTCTAGAAAGAGTGCAGAGAAGAGCAACAAAGAGGATCAGGGGACTGGAGGCTAAAACATACAAGGAACGGCTGCTGATATTGGGTATGTCTCGTTTAATGAAGAGAAGGACGAGGGGGGACAGGATAGCAGTCTTCCAGTATCTCAGGGGCTGCCCCAAAGAAGAGGCAGTCAAGCTCTTCTCCAAAGCCCCTGAAGGCAGGACCAGAAGCAACGGATGGAAACTCACCAAGGAGAGAAGCAACCTGGAACTAAGGAGAAACTTCCTGACAGTGAGAACAATTAACCAGTGGAACCACCTGCCTCCAGAAGCTGTGAATGCTCCAACACTGGGAGTTTTTAAGAAGAGACTGGACAGCCATTTGTCTGAAATGGTATAGGGTTTCCTGCCTGAGCAGGGGGTTGGACTAGATGACCTCCAAGGTCCCTTCCAATTTTATTATTATTATTAACAACCTGCCTCCAGAAGCGGTGAATGCTCCCACACTGGAAGTTTTTAAGAAGAGACTGGACAGCCATTTGTCCAAAATGGTATAGGGTTTCCTGCCTGAGCAGGGGGTTGGACTAGATGACCTCCAAGGTCCCTTCCAACTACTTTATTATTATTATTATTATTATTATTATTATTATCATCATCATCATCATCATCATCATCATCATCATCATCATTATTATTATTATTATTATTATTATTATTATTATTATTATTATAGTCCCTAAGAGAATTGCTGCAGTGGTTAAGTTAGGAGCACGGCGGTTCCGGGAATCCGGCTTCCCCCATTGAGCCTGCTGGCCAGAAGCTTGCAAGGGGTCTATATTTACAACGGTTGCAGCGTCCGGGGTCTGGTGACCCCTTTTGGTGACCTCCCGTCAAGCATCAATCAGTGGGGAAGCCAGATTCGCTTAACGGCTGTGTGACTCAATTAACAACCGCAGCGATTCACTTAGCAACCATGGTGAGAAAGGTCGTAAAACGGAGCTGAACTCGTGTAACTTCTCTCGCGCTTAAAAATTTGGAGCTTGGTTGTGGTCAAGGACTTTATTTTTAAAAAATGAATAAATACAGTCCCCTCACTAACCCACCCCCCCACCCCCATTTCTCCGGGCAGGCCTGCAGCCGGAAGCTGTACAACTGGCTGAAGGTGGCCTCTTATCGCCCGGACCAGCAAGTGGAGGAAGAGGAGGACTTCCTGGACGAGAGCCAAGGGAAGGGCATCCGGGTGCTGGGCATCGCCTTCTCCTCGGCCAGGTATCGTGGGGAGGGGGAGGGAGGGCGGGATAGAGACCCGGGTTCAGCGCTACCCCCTCCGGCTCTGCCCCAGGCTGAGATGGCTGCCCCTCTTGCAGGAACCACCCGGTCTTTTGCGCCCTGCTCAACGGGGACGGAGAGGTCACGGATTTCCTGCGCCTGCCCCACTTCACCAAGCGGAGGAACGCCTGGCGGGAGGAAGAGAGGGAGAAGAAGGTGAGCTGGGGAGGGGGCTCGGCTGACTCCCAGGACCACCCTCGCCGGGTGCCACCAGGAAGGGAGTGGGGCTGCCTGGGTCCGGTCGGGGGCTTCGTTTTAGAACAGAGGGGTCCAGACCTGGCCACTTTAAGAGGGGTGGGCTTCCAGAATTCCCCAGCCAGCCTGCTTTAAGAGGGGTGGGCTTCCGCTCCCAGAATTCCCCAGCCAGCATCCCTTAAGAGAGGTGGACGTCCACTCCCAGAATTCCCCAGCCAGCCTGCTTTAAGAGGGGTGGGCTTCAACTCCCAGAATACCCCATCCTGCATTCTTTAAGAGGGGTGGGCTTCCACTCCCAGAATACACCACCCAGGCATGCTTGAAGAGGAGTGGACTTCAACTCCCAGCATCCCCCAGCCAGCATGCGTTAAGAAGGGTGGACATCCGCTCCCAGCATCCCCTAGCCACCCTGTTTTAAGAGGGGTGGACTTCCGCTCCCAGAATTCCCTAGCCAGTATTATTTAAGATAAATGGACTTCAACTCAGTATGCTGACTGGGGAATTCTGGGAGTTGAAGTCCACAAACAGGGGTCTTCCAACTTGGCCCTTTGATGACTGGTGAACTTCAACTCCCAGAATTCCTCAGCCAGGCACGCAAGTGCCTGGCTGAGGAATTCTGGGAGTTGAAATCCACCAGTCATCAAAGGGCCAAGTTGGAAGACCCCTGTTTTACAGAGAATCCTCCACTTACAGCCATTGGTTTAGCGGCCGTTTCCAGTTACAACAGCACTTTACGACCGTTTTGCACGCTTAACGACCGTTGCAGCCTCCCCAGGGTCGCGGGAACAAAATTCGGACCCTCGGAAACTGACTCATACTTACGGCGGTCCCGGGGTCCCCTTTTGCGACCGTCTGGCAAGCCAACTCGAAAGGGAAGCCACGTTCACTTAACCGTGGTACTAATGTGAACCACTGCAGTGATTCCGTTAATGGCTGGGGCAGACATGGTCATAAAATGGAGCGAAACTGACTTGACTCCCTCGCTGAGCAACAGAAAGTTTGGGCTCCTTTGTGGGTCTCTGTTCCTTTCTTTTCTGCCAAGTGTCCGGCTTGGGAGGGTGGCAAGACCTGGGGGGGGGGGCTGGCCTCCCCTCCCCTTTTACCGTAACCTGGTTTGTTTTGTTTTTTTCCTCCCCTTTTCTCCGAGGTAGGCTCAGGATACTGAGACCCTGAAGAAGTTCCTGCTGGGGAAGAAACCCCACGTGGTGATCATTGGGGGAGAAAACAGGTGAGCCCCTCCCAGCCACGCCCCGAGTTCAAATCCCTCTCTTTGGACTCTTTCAGAAGACACACACACCCCCCATTCCTCTCCTTCCACTCCGGGAGACGCATTGCCATGCCCCCTTTTTGGATTAGCCAGCCCCACCTGGGGAAGGTCCAAGGGAGACCCCCTTTCCCCCGGCCGGCTGCCTTCCAGGAGGGGCTGACAGCCAGAGCCCCCCCCCCCTCGCTCATGATTTGTGCTACAGGGGTCAAACTTAGTGCGACCTTCCGACAAGCAAAGTCAGTGGGGGAAGCCAGTTTCACTTCACAACTGTGTCACTAACTTAACAACTGCAGTGACTCGCTTGAACCACTGTGGCCGGAAAGGTCGTAAAACGGGGCACAGGTCACTTTACAAACATCTCACTTAAATGGTGGTTGTATGTCGAGGACTACCTGTGTAAGCGTTTGATTGCCTAAGCCACAGGGGTAGGCAACCTTGGCCCCTTCGTGACTGGTGGACTTCAACTCCCAGAATTCCTGAGCCAGCATGGCTCAGCTTGGAAACCTCTCCCTTTCCCCTCAGCATGGCTGGCTCAGGAATTCTGGGAGTTGAAGTCCACGAGTCATGAAGGGGCCATAGTTCCCCCATGCTGGCTCAGGAACTCTGGGAGTTGAAGTCCACCAGTCATGAAGGGGCCATAATTCCCCCATGCTGGCTCAGGAACTCTGGGAGTTGAAGTCCACCAGTCATGAAGGGGGCCATAGTTTCCCCATGCTGGCTCAGGAACTCTGGGAATTGAAGTCCACGAGTCATGAAGGGGCCATAGTTTCCCCCATGCTGGCTGAGGAATTCTGGGAGTTGAAGTCCACCAGTCATAAAAGAGCCAAGGTTGAAGACCCCTGAGGGCCTAAGGGTTAGTGCAACAATGCTAAGCAGTTCCCTAAAAGGCAAACTGGCAGGATAAAATCAGTTGGGTTCCCGCTGTCTTTGACAAAGAACTCCTCGTTTCACACACACACACACCCAAAGAGAGGGGAACCTGCACCCCAAAGAGGACCATGCCGGGCTGCCTGATGATGGAGCCTCTGCCTAGAGGGGGTCCTCAGCTCTTCCCCTCCCCACCCATTTCCCCCAGGGATGCGCAGATGCTGGTGGAGGACGTGAAGCGGATTGTCCACGAACTGGAACAGGGCCAGCAGCTCTCCTCCATCGGTGTGGAGCTGGTGGACAACGAACTGGCCACCCTTTACATGAACAGCAAGAAATCGGAGGTAACGCTGGGGGGGGGGGGCT